GTGTTGTGTGTGTGTGTGTGTGTGTGTGTGTGTGTGTGTGTGTGTGTGAGAGAGCGAGTGTGGTGGTCAACCCTTAGCGAGTGAGGAAGAAGAAGATATGGCAGCGTTAATATTTCTTCCATCACAATCCATTCCTTTCAAACAACCTTGTTACATTTTTCAATAATTAAGACTTGTTTTTTGCAAGTCAGTGATCAGAGTGCATACAAAGCTTAGAAATAGAGCTCCAGGATGAAGATTTGAAGATGACTGTCATTGAGTCGTTCAGCAGGGTGTGTTTGGTTTCTTACTCGATCCAACTTTGGGACTACTTATTCCTGTCTTGAATAGCCTGAAATGCCCTTAACTGCAGAATATGTGTACAGTAATTGACAATAAATACAGATTTCTTGGATTGTAATGTTTATTGAATCCCCAGCAGTTATGACAATGTTCACAATGTGGCTTTGATCTCCATTCCACCAATAGTTGCTTTCATTTGGAAACACAAAAAACAGTCAAACTACTTCAATATAACCCATAACATGATCCCTCCCCCTACACGTGACATCCTTTATATGGAAGTGATGAAAAGCCCCGCCCCCAAGAACAGTATTTCCAGGAATCCCACTTTCTGATAGGTCAAGGGATTCCTGGGAAAACTGGACCCCGGGAGAGGGGAGAAAGACAGAGAGCCCCCCTCCTCACATCAGCTCAGGATCTGCCCCCCCCCCTCACATCAGCTCAGGATCTGCCCCCCTCCTCACATCAGCTCAGGATCTGCCCCCCCCCTCACATCAGCTCAGGATCTGCCCCCCTCCTCACATCAGCTCAGGATCTGCCCCCCTCCTCACATCAGCTCAGGATCTTCCCCCCCCCTCACATCAGCTCAGGATCTGCCCCCCCCTCACATCAGCTCAGGATCTGCCCCCCCCCTCACATCAGCTCAGGATCTGCCCCCCCCTCACATCAGCTCAGGATCTGCCCCCCCCCAGCCGTGAAGCCGGGCTCCATACACGAGCAGACTGAATGACCGTCCTTTAAACTCCCTAACCACAGATGTCAGAGATATGACATAGCATGCTTACATGAAGTTATTTATTCAATTAGAAAAAATATATATAACATATTAATACAATATATTACATATAATACAAATATTTACAGTAT